TCATTCTTGACACTTTAACTGATGGTAGAGAAGGTGAGAATAAATTATGTACTTAGATATGTGCAACATTTGTGGACTTCAAAATCTGTTATGAAAGGATATCTATTGAAAATCATTCTTGACACTTTAACTGATGGTAGAGAAGGTGAAAATAAAGTATGTACTTAGATATGTGCAACGTTTGTGGACTTCAAAATCTGTTATGAAAGGATATCTATTGAAAATCATTCTTGACACTTTAACTGATGGTAGAGAAGGTGGCTTGGATAACAGAGTACACCATTGATTGTATTCAAGGAGAAGAATCAATGGTCCCAATGCAGGGGTGTTTAAAAATATCCACCAAAAAGATACTAGACTGTGAGGTATGGAACTACCCAAGCTGACTGTGGAAGGAGTATATGAGTATGTTAAGGGAAGAAACTAACCAAAGCTAGACATCCAATGAATGGTGTAGGTAAAATCTTCCAAAATGTGGAAGTCAGGTAAAAAGCAGACCACCCAACAAAAGACATATGGAACTGAAACAAGTCCAAAGGGCAAGGCATGAAACTGGGTCCTAATCACATGGTGAAAAACCCTAAGACAGCATCTCCGAGAAATGAAAAATAAAAATGTGTACCATGGCCATTCCCAAACATGCAGAAATAGCCTACCCAAATGTGATCAAAGACTACATATGAAAATGGAGAAGACCCAAGAAACAATTGAGGTGGGGCCAAGTGATCCAGAACCCCGATCAGCATCAATCATACAAGACAAATGGAGAAAACCCATAGGTAGGACAGGAAGTTGCCAGACATGTAAAAGAGTAAAGACAACAATATTGCAGAATGAAACAAAAGAGCAACTAAAAGAATATAGCATGGCAGTTATCCCACGTGACACTAAGTGTACAGGAGGAGCCCCAAAAATGGACCTGTGGAGAAAAAGATTTGATCATAAATTCCAATTAGCAGTGGTTGGTAAACAAACAGCTGTGTTCCACCCAAGAAGATCCCAAAAGTAAAGAAGTCATGTGTGGAGGGAAAGAAATGAAGATGGAAAACACCCCAACATGGAGGGAAGGAGGAGGTGATATTTCCATGAAAATCCCTAAATATAGGTGGAACACCTAAGAAAGGAAGTGGAAGGTAAACATTATCTGTAGGAGAGTAGATAGGGTAATATGAAGCTGAAAAATTAGGTAGGGGAGAAAATTGATAGGATTAACAGATATCCAAGGGACATAAAATCAAGAAGAAAATCTGCCTGATGCTAAGGCAAAAAGAATGAAAGCCTATATAGGGCGAGGCTCACATGTACCCACTCTCAACAGAGAGAGACAAAGATAGTCATGAAACTATGTCAGGAGAAGGGGAATAAACTGTGAAATGTGTCTAAAATAAAAAAAACCTGACATAGGCCTAGGAGATTCTTTAGTAGAGGCCTGAAATGCAATCCATGATAAGGTCGAGGAAAACTGACAAAATCTGCCTGAGGCAACAGAAAGGATATGGGTACCTGAGATAATGGAGGAAGGGAAAGGAAGTCGATGACAAGTCATTATCAATCAGAGCAGACCAGCAACTTAAATAATTTGCTGGCAAAATTGTAAAGAATGGTTTAGATAAAAGAAAGTTTGCTGTTAACTGAATAAATACCAACTATAATAGACAAGCTTCAGCTGTAATATTATTATCAAATCTGCTAATACATACAAAAAAAAAAATGTTAAAAAATTTTCAAATATACTACAATATTTTTCTTATTATTATGGTTTTTCATGAACATTTAAAAAATTCCTCACTTACATAGTCAGCTAAAAACTTGATTCCATGAGGAAATCTCTCTGGATCAGGTTCTAATCTTCCATCAGGTTCTCTCTCTTGCTTCATCCAACAATCATCAATATTTATATATTCATAACCAGCATCCTTAAAACCATCACTAACAATTCGATCTGCCATTTCTATGAAAAGTTCTTCACTAAAAATTTATAAATGAATAAATTATTACCACATTTGTTTGAAAAATTGCGTGAAATCATTGTTTAGCCCTTTCAACATGGGCTCGGTCCGTCGGATCGACCTCGTAACCATTGTGTGCCTGTTATAGTTTTCATGCTATAACTTTTAAATTAGTAAGTGTATGTTAACAAAATTTGGCACATTATCAGTTAACATTACAATGCTTTCATACACAAAATATTAATTCTTAAGGTTTGTTAAGCAAAATTTCTCGTATCTTTTTTTATCTTTTCACTTGTTACTTATCCAACGTGCAAAGTAATTTTAATTTCAAGAATAAAAATATTTTCATGCATTAGAAAATTTTAAAATTTCACATGCAAAATCTTTATAATGTTCAGATAGTTATCAAATGTTTCTTAAAGATATTTTATCTGTTATTTTCAGTAATGAATATCTATAGTTTCGTTAGATTTGACCTATCTTGTAACCAACATAAAAGATTACTTTGCATGTTGGATAGATAACATGTGAAAATAGAAAAAAAAGTATGAGAAAAACATTGGTTAACAACCTTTAAGAATTAATAAAAAAAAATTTATATTTTGCGTATCAAAGTATTGTAATTTTAACTGATAATCTGCCAGATTTCATTAACATATGCTTATCAATTTAAAAGTTATAGCACGAAAACTACAACAAGCACAAAATGGTTACAAGGTTGGTCTGACGGACCGAGCCCGTGCTCAACGGGTTAGACTTTCAAATATGCATAAAGTAAGAAGAAAATTCAGTAACATAAAATTCTACTTATTTAACAATTATTGTACACACCATTTTAAATGTATGAAGTGTAGTCCCAGTGCTCAAGAGACAAAGAACTTCCAATGGACCACAGGGTTGATATGCAGGGAAAAGGGAAGGTGCATGATTGGAGTGAAGATACCACGAATTGATGATGGGAAGAAGGAGACAAGGAATAAAAGGCCAATCGAAACATAATTCTAACCCAATGGATCAGGGAAAAGGGGAAAAAATCAAAGACAAAGCAGTGGAGTAAGGGAAGGAAATCATAAGAAATGGATTCAACAGAAAAAAACCTTTAAAACTATGAAGCAACCCACAGCATGTACTGGACAGATAAGGTTATCGGGAAGTGACTGAGGAAAAATGTGAAAGATAGTAAGATACGAAAAAGTAAAAAGGAATATACCACATGAGCCACGAAAATGTAGATGAAAAAATTATCCAGAACAAAGGAAACAAATTGATCTGAAACAGCTGAGAAACCCAGATCTATGCTAGCCAGGAAAGATCAATCAGAAAGACCTTAACTGGAGTGACATGGATGAACAAACATTTTGGGAAAAAAACTGATGGAAGGAGAAAAACCTAATGTTATTAACTGGATGTAATCCTGTATAAATGTATTGATAGCCAGGGCAAGTGGATGAACTAGAGACCAAAAGCAAGAGAGGTAACTACCTGGGAATTGATAAAAATTCAAAACTTCACGTGAAGGAGCACTCCACAGGAAGCAGAGCCCCCAAAATTTGAAGGATTGAGAGGTCACTCCTTTAGAGAATGTGTGATGGGACAGGAAAGTCAATCAGCAACAAGGACAGAAGCACCTGGAACACAACCCTCCAGGAGACGTATGTCAAGTGTGTTGGTTCAGAAAGGGAGATCCACAGTCTACCACAAAAGGAACATAAACAAGTGTTCCCATGGCAAGTGATAGAAGCCACCACCATCAAATAGTTGAAATAAAACATGATTAGTCAAATCCGGACAAAAAGGAAGAGAATTAATGAAACAAGTGGACTGGCAGAAGTACCAGAGTGTGAAGGTGATAAGACATTTCGCTTGTAGGTCATTGTCCTGAAGCTTCCTACTGATCAAACCACATCCTTAACCTTAGGAGATGAGCATCAAGGAAGAGAAATAACCCAGAAGAGGGGGAGGAAGTGGTAACCCTGACATTGTAGGGAATATGATGATTTAAAAACTCATATAGATGAAGAGGAAAGAATGAAAATTTAGAGGAAAATGAAATGAATGGATCTCCCATTATCTGCTTTGGGTAGCTGTTTCTTCCTTGTTGGGGTACTGTCATCCACCTGTTGCCACCCTTCACTCTTTTGTGAGACTGTGACTGTGTAAGTTGCCTTATAATATCTATACCTCTTTATTTTTTCAGGGGGCATGTCCCTCCTTTTCTTTATGGATCCCACTCGGTGGCGAGTGATGCCTGTCCAGGTATACTTAAACTAGTCACACTTGCACTGTAAGGCCATGATGACTTAACAATTATAATCCCCTGGCCACTAAACACACACTGCTGAGATGGGGTGTTCCACAAGATTCTTTTGTAGGTTTATCCTCGCAATATGTTTGCATCATTAGTTTGCCCATCCCGGACTGTACTCACCCATGGACTACATGGGTAAAGCAGAAGGTGATAGCTGCCCATCCCTGCCATGTCTTGTA